GTAGCTTGCCTCCTTAAAAACAGTTGCACCTCTGCCATTGTTAAAACATTTGAATTTGTAGATGCTGAAAGTTGCATGGGTTCAAAACTTAGTGAGATAAATTAATGGAAGAAAAAATCATTGAGGGCATTGAAATAGTGAGGTAACACCTCTGAGTTAGGGACTGCCTGTCTGTGGAGCATCCCTGCCTGCCTGCCCTGTGGGGTCTGCGGCTACCAGCTATGCTTAGAAACTGGACATGGAGCTGGGTGGCAGGGTCTAGCTTGCATGCTGATCTCCAAGCCCGACTCTCCTCTTGTCATGTTGTGTGAGATTCATCAACAGCAAGTTCAGAGGTGTCAATTAAGTTACACAGAGAGGAAAATTTTACCCCCCAGTTGAAAAAGCAACTCACACTTCACAAGCTGGGTTGCCTTCCTCATTGATTTGACTTCTGCAGGTACGGGAGCTGTCTCCACCTGGGCATGAAATCCAGCCGCTCTTGGGGAGGGAGGCAGGGGGAGTTTAAAGCCTCCCTGAGACTGCAGTGGCAGGGGCAGCGTGGCATTTCTTATGAGTTCCCAGAGAGGTGTTACTTATTGTGGCTTTTCTGCAGAGGAGATTATTCCAAATAACAGCTGTTGTCTCACTCCCTTGTTATTCCTGACGGCGCAATATTTATTCCACATTAACCTAACTCACTCTGGAAGCAGATTAAGCTAATTTGAATTAAAGCACATTTACTACAAAACATCTATCCATACAGAAAATTAGTCAAGACTAGCTAATCTCTTTTCAATTAATTTAATAATTTCCCCATAGAGACAACTCTAGTAGTAATGACTCTGTCACTGAAACTGTAGCAATTTGCTGTTTCTTTGAAGTTGATCTAAAGCTGTTTCCTAAGAGAGATTACAGTTATTTAGTTACTTGTACCTAATGTGTGAGTGTTGCTGTGCAAACACACGAGGGCACTATCCTTTCCCTGAAAAAATAGGTAGAAAAAAAATCCCTGAAAAAGGCATTAAGGGATGCAAATCCCATCAGAGCAAGGCAGAGAAATCCCACCAAAGAAACAGGATCAATTTAAGAAAAGGTGAATTCAAACTGGTAATTTGGGAACTGCTTTTGGAAGGCAGAAGAACACTACGGACAGTGCACGGCTGCCAGGAGGCAAAAGGAGAGGGGGGAGAGCCGAAAAGAAACTCTGTGTATTAGCCTGTTACTGGCCCATTCAATACACGTATAGACAGCTCTGACAGGCACACAGACACCAACAAAACACAGACAAGCCGGACGCTCACCAGTGTGAAGGGGGTGTTCAAAATGGTGATCATCACATCGGCAATGGCCAGGTTGACGATGAAGAGGCTGGTGGCGGAGTGCATCCTTTTGTTCTTGATCACCACGTGGCACACCAGGATGTTGCCGAAGAGCGAGATGCAGATGATCACAGAGTAGGCTACTATAAGCAGCGCCTTCACCATCCGGCTCTGGGACTCGCCCTCATACTTGGTCCCACTGTCAAAGTCCCCCAGGTCCTCCAGGTCCAAATCGCTGTGGAAGAAGGATTGGTTAGGGAAGCCATACGGTGAAGAGAAGTTGGTCGTGTTGTGATTCTCCGCTCTCCAGAAGGGCTTGGAGATGTACTGCAAAGGGAACCACATGTGCCTGCTCATGGCTCGGGAAGCAAGGCTCCAGCGCTGCCCATGTCCCCAGGCAGGCTGCGTGTTCCTCTGCCCTCCTTCCTGGCAGCTCAGGTGCTAAAGTCAGTGGTTGCAGGAGGAAACACACACGCTTGCATTTTTAAAATCTGCCCCGTGGTTGCCAGCTACATAAAAGAGTTGATAAATGGGTCCTTCTTCCTGTGCTGATTACACGTGAGCTTTGCTCCAGGGACTCTCCAGCTGCTGTTCTTTTCCAGTCCCATATGTCCTGTATACAGATGCTGAAATATCAGAGACCCCCAAACACTTTCTCTCTGCACCTAGGAAGAAATCCTAGTGAATATTTCCTTTTGGGCACTGTTCTGCTTCTCTCCCACAACTTCTCCTTGGAAATCTGCTTTGTTGGTTTTCCACATAGTCCTTCATCCATCAGGTCTCTGTTTCCTAAGAGTTTTCAGAGCTTGTCAGAATCAAAAAAGCAAGGGCAGGCTTTCCCTTTTCTTTTCATCTCCAAAGAATCTCCGAGCTACACACCGAAACAGCTTTGCTCAGAGACCGAGTGATCCCTGCTTTCCCTGTGATATATACAGCCTGCTAGATGACACACTGCATATGAAATAGCCAATAGTGTATCTCTTCCTAGTTTATCCTGAGGTGTATTGCAACTCCACACATAGACGATGGGAGAGTCTGACATGTGCAGATCTAGCACAGCAGCAAGACACAGAGAGAGTGGATGTGCCCTGATCTTCCCTGTCTCCTCTCTCCTCCTCCTCCTTTCTGGGTACCCAGAACAACAGCTATGTGGGGTGAAGCATCTTTATTAATTTGCAGCATCTTTCTTTCTCTCCATTCCAGAATTTTAGCAGACAGAGAACATCCAAAGGATTTCTGCCTCCAGAGAGGTCCCAGCTTTGTGCCTGGCACTGTCCTCTTCTTGCTCTTGCGTGGTGCGGAAGACAGTGTAAAAAGTGAAATGCAACCTGAAAATGAGAACAGAAGTTTCAGGGTGCTGCTGGGTGTCCAGGGAGACTCCTGCCGCAGCTCAGCCCTCTGTGCACTGAGCCAGGAGGTCGGGGAAAGCAGAAGCAAACAGCAGCAACATGGGTGGAAATCCCTTCTCTTCTCCTTCCCTTCCTTTGCAGACACAGTCATCTGCAGAGCAGCCTCAGGCTCCAAGCTCAGAAACTCAGATGCAAAGAGCCTTTCTGTGCTGCCTTCCTGCAATGAGCCCCCCCCCCGGCACCCAGAGCTGGGGGTAGACTGGCAGCACAGGGCTCCTGGGTGGGCAGAAGGGGCTGAGCGGGGAGCAGGTAGATTTTCATACAGGATTGGAGACAGAAGTCAACTGCTTCTCATTTTTGACAGACTCGGCATCCCAGCATTCATTTGGCAACACAGAATGTCTTTTGCCATAAGTGTTTTTGTCATATGTGTCTTCAGAGACGTCACTAGGCTTCTCCACCCTTCCTCAGCATCCCCAGACCCCTTTTTATTTCTGCCCCACAGCCGGCCCATACCTGCACCCTGCCCAGGGGCTGAGCCAGGCACGCCGTTGGTCAGGGCATGAACTGGCAAGCGGGCAGTTTCATCCTTTTCTTCATAGTTCCTGTTGTGTAAGGATACTAATCAACTCAGTCAGGACTTTATTTGGAGGATGGCAAATCATGGATACATCGCTTACAGCTGTAAAGGTGGAGGGCTGTGGCACGCATGAGATCAGAAGCAGGGGTCTCGCTGCCAAAGGAGAAATGGCAACCATTTCCCTGCACGCGTCTTCTGGAGACACAGGCTGTCAGAAATTGCTGCTGATGGCTCGGTGGTGAATGACACCATGTGTATACATGTGTATATGTACACACACGCCCTGTCTGACACGTGCGCAGCTCCGGCGTGGCTGGGAGCCTGCACTGACCAGCTCTGGGGTGGGCGAGCACCCGTGGGCATCTCCACAGTGGCATTACAGGGGCTGTGGAAACACGGAGGGCTTCATCCTCGAGCTCCTTCGCTGTGTGGTTATGACGTGCTCATTTGCCAGTGTTCCCTTTCATTTCTTTGTCATGCACTAGAAGGACGACCTGGCAGAACAGTATTTAGATGCAGATGCATAAACCTGATCGTTGTGCCAAAGGCATGCTATTCGCATACTACAGCACTCTCTGCAGAACTGATGTATTCTGTCAAAGGTTCAAACACTTAAGCAATCACATGCTGTTTTGCTGCAGTTATTATCCACTTACAAACATTCTGAGCAGCTTCTAGCAGACTTCAGTGTTCATCATGCATCATAACGTTTGTGCTGGCTCCTCTAAGTCAAATAGAGAAAGCAAGGGAGAAATATACTTTTTCAAACGCGTGCATTTGAATTGTGCAGAGTCAACCTTTGTTTCTATAGAAGATTTTTGGCTTTCTCACTTTGACACTACTTGAGTCAAAAATTTTTGGAAATTTTCATTTTCATGAGATTATTTAGCATATTTATTTTTGGTGCTTTTTTGTGTCAAAAAGTAATGTCAAAATGCTGAAATTTCAATTGAGGTGAAGATTCATTTTCTGAATAGATCGAATGTAGACTAAGTGTTGATGAGAGCCAAAGAAATCAGAGCCGTACTATAAAAATTCAGATCCTTGTTTGGTCAGTAGTCTAGCAAATCTAAATATCAACGAATCAAAGCACTTACATTAAAAAAATAAAATAGATACATTTGACTGGAGTTTGACAGGTAAAATAAGGAAAGGTCTGAACTTCTCAGTTAAAATTTTCCAACACTATCACCAGATGCTAGTCACACGACTCGTGTTGTCAGCATATGTAATCTGACTCAATTCCTGTCTCTGATTTTGTAATCTACCTGGGAGTTGACATGTGCATTTTTAAAATATAAACTCGCATCTCAGCAGTGCAGCTAACCGGTCTGTTAGGAGAGTAGCTGGGTCTGGATCTGTAAGCTCTTAGGGATTTCATCCCACTTGGGAACATTAAAACACCAGATTATGAACATTGTCACAGGTCATTGCTACGGTTCATTTCTAGATGGTGTTTTGCTTGCTCTTCACCTTTCTCGCTCAGTGAAGTCTCTGATGACCAGTAACACAGGACAGCATGATCTTTCGGACGAAAGCACGGACTGCATTGCCTTTGCTCAGGGAAGCCAAGTTGGCTGTTAGGGATGAGTCACTGGTCTTCGTGGGCTCATGGTATCTTCCCAGTACTTGCCTGCAGGGACTTTTTCCTGTCTGACAAAGATAAGTCAGATAATTCAGCAGTCAGTTGCATTGTACAGTATGTAAAAGTGTCCAGGGTCAAGGCTGCTCACTCTTGCACCTTAATTTAAGCTAATTTTAAAGAAATGGCTTCTAAAGACATGATTCATCTTCATTACTGGACAGTACTTAACGATGAGCCAAATCATGATAGTAATGGAGCCTGTCTCCCCAGGCTGTTACACCACAGTCTTAGTAGGTATACGTATTAAAATGCTTGTCCCTGTCTGCTCCCATGAAGATGTAAAGAAAATGCTTTCATTACTGGAGTATTGAGCTTGCAAAGCCGAATAAAATTGTCCCTCCAGGTCCCTGCAGATTATTATATTTCATATTTATGAGGTATGTAAAGACCTCATAAGAGGGCATAAGAGAAATACTGAGAATACAAGGCATTACATTAAACATTTTCCTCATGCAGAAGTTCTCATCACACTCCAAAGGTGCATTTTTCAGCTTCTTGTCTTTGTCTCTGTCCGTCCTTCTCCGAGCTCCATTGCTGGTGCCGAGCACGGGCCTTTTCCACACCGGCGGTGAAAGGTCACGAGAGCAGCTCGAGAAAAAGCTGCTGCTCAAAGCTGCTCCCACTTTTGAGCCATTTCTGTTTCAGAACATGCTATGGAGATCCACAGAGTAACTCACAGAGAAACCGGCCGTGCCTCCAAGAGCATCCTCTGTCCTCCCAGGCAAGGGTCCTCACGGGATCGTGCCGCAGAGAGGAGGGTGCGCACAAATTATGTCAAAATGTAAAACAAGGTCTTCTGGTGCAATAGTGAGATTTCTGGCTTGAAAAAGAAAATGTCTCTGCTTTGCTATTCGGAGTTGAAAGCAGCTGTAATAGACGGCAAGTTTCAGTGCTTGAGCCCTGTCCATAGGGAGAAAATTCAACAGCTAAAATTCCCAAGTCTAAATGAGGAAAAATTCATTCAATGTGCCTGTTGCATCAGGCAGCTTTTTGAAAGATTCCTGTTCCCTAGAGAAGCTAATAGTTTACACTTTTCTCTTTTAAATACAGGTTTGATAAATAACAGAAACAATGAGAGCTATATATCAACCCCCAGATTCTTTTCTTTCACTCAAAAGGTGTGTTATAAATAAGAGTTTGGACGGTCCTTGAAAACCATGACCTGGGAACTTTTTCTTCTTTTATATTTGCTTTAATACACTGAGGACACTGTATTCCTCTTCATTTGCAGTGACTAGTACTGCTTTTGTGACTCAGAAAACGTGGGATGAACAGGCACAGAAATCTTGCAGGACATTTCATGGACTTGATAATAAGACTTAATAAATAAACAATGTCTAGCGATAATGGAGCGAATACCCCAGTAATGAATTAAATAAATCAGCTCTGTAATTCAGACAGATGCTAACAATGCAAAATCACAAAGATATTTAACTTAGGGGCTGTTTACTGTGCAGAACAGCTTAGTGTCATGGCAATAGTAAAGCCTACAGTAGACTGCGTCTGAACACAGAGAAAGGCAGGTGAGCTTTGGCATGTCCAGACCTGCCAAGCAGCGGCATCCTGCTGCAGTGCCTGGTGCGAGGAGGGCCAGGAGGGACCGCATCCTGCCAAGAGCCAGCACCATGCCTCGCCTGCGCCAACACCCACCCAGACCAGCCCCACTGGCATTGCTGCAACTGCAACCGCAGGTGGAAGCAATACTCCAAACTGTATTTACTTTAAAAGGCATTCAGAGCCCTTTACACCATGAGGGTGTTCTGGGGTGTAAGGACACCGAGTGCT